TCAAAAACGTGTGTTACTCACTGGCCAAAAGACATCAACTCAGACAATGCTGGGAGTGGAACACATCAACATCATTTCTAACAGACACTGTACCTTATGAAACTACCAAAGTCAGTTCAGAAGAATTGCCTGATTCTGTGCTGACCTACTTCAGAAACCTGGGACTAACTGAGGAAGACGAACTCTGGATGACAAAAGCTGTGACAGTGAACACTACAAGGTATTGCACTGGGGACTTTTTCATCATCGACCTGTTGGAAGGTGAACAAATACCATTGTTTGTGCAGGTCTGTAAGATACTGCATTTTCGGGCAAACTGGTTTCTGGTGGCAAAAAGCTTTGCAACTGTTGCATTTTCCAGCCATCTACATGCTTTTCATGTGGAAGAAACTGATGATACAGTCATACTGAAGCCTGGAGATGAAATTGACTTCCACCCACTTGACTGTTACCGCTGCGCAGGCAAAGACTATATTTCCCTCTTACATCGTCCATTCAAATCGCATGATTGAAGGTAATTTTACAGACTGGTACATCACACAGATATAAATTTACTGTAGGGACTGTTCTTTAGTTGCTCATCTCCTAACATTTTAACACCTGTGCTGTTTTTTTCTTTTATTTTTTTATTTTACTAACATTGGTATTAGGCTTGGGCAGTATCCAAATTTCAATACCGTCTATCTACCTCTACATTTTACCATGGTGTACGGTGTTACCGGGACTAATTTAAAATTTTCTGTTGGTCTTTCTCTTTTTATCTGTCTCAACCTGTCTTTTTGTACTTGTCTTTGTCTATTTTTTTTTCCCTAGAGAATGAAATTGATGGTGCAACACTGCTGGGATTATCGGAGCGGATGTGTGAACGGATATTTCCCAAAATAAATGACCAGGTGCGCTTTATGGCCATCCTCAGTACCCTGAAAGCGTAAGTTCAAATTCATTCTTTGATATTTTGTTTTTCCAAGAATAGGGAGTCTATTGGCGCTTACACATTAGTGTCGGCACAGTTGAGTATTGGGCCACACGGAACAGGAATTTGGTTTCACACATGGGTCAGATGTGCATTTTCTAGTCCAAGGCGAGTTTTTTTTTTCAGCCCTCCTCCCCAGCGGTCAGACTGGGACCAAGGTAACGCTACGGACTGATTGGCTGAAATTACGCCTACCGCCTCCGATTAGCGAGTAGAATTAGCCAGCATGGGGTTACCGCATGTGCGATTCATTTTCATTCTGGATGCTGTTAAGTAAACTTCTCTGTCTGTAGCACATAGCTGCCGCTCAGTGGGAACGGGAAAAGCGAGAGAGAGCTGTGTATTTGCCTCTGCATCAGAGCTCTTGTCCCAGTAAAGCCGACAGACAGGTTTTAATTTTGAGATCCCTGCATATACCCTGAATAAGTGAAATTAGAAAATAGTTTTTAGCCCCATTGACTTGCATTAATTTTTTCGTTCTTCTGGGGGCACATGGTCCGGAAGCATACTGTTACACCCCTATACCTAACCAATCACGGAGAGTAACTGCTTAAAAAATGTTCTTTTTTTTCTTACACTAACAGAAAAGAAAAGAATATATCGCTACTGCATGATGAAGAACCAGATGTACCTGAAAATCCCACCGCAGGATGTTTTCAACTTCGGTTCCCTCAGTTCCTTGTCAGATCTTTGAACAACAAAGACCCAGACCTGAAGTCTCACCAGCGAAACAAATTTAAGAATGCACTCATACAGGCTCTCTATGATACACTGAGTGTTCAGACCATGTGAGTATTGGCCTGCATATTTTATTCGTTTTAAAACCAAATAGATAAATATTGAACATACTCCGTGGCGGCTGCTGACTTTTTTGTCAGTGGGGCGCATTTTAACAGGTGCAAAAAAAAGCATGCCAGCTGAGATTAGCATGATCTGAAGGTGCATATGAATAAAGACATTTTTTAAAAAATAAATTACCTTTCTAATCCATGTTTCTCCTGAAAAACCTTTGGTTTTGACTAGGGCTGCAGCTATCGAATATTTTTGTAATCGAGTACTCTATCGAATCTTTTTTTCGATTAATCGAGTACTCTAATAAATTACCCTTTTGTGTTTGTAAACCATTATATCAAATAGCATGTTATAATTATGAAAGACTCTTAAAATGAGCAAGCAATTGCCAGTTATTCTTCAAGTTTTATTCAAAATTAAGTTTGCAAAACTTCAGCACTTCAACTTTACTTCACAGTAAACAAATGGCTGTGCAAAAAATAAGTAAACAACCTGAGCCGATTTTCCCCTCGTGTGACAATCTACTAGCCTGCAAGCCAGAGGATAACTGTTGAAGTAGCGCTGCGAGCGGCTGCGGCCCAAACAGAACCAGAACCGCTCACGGCGCATGCGCAAACAGCTCGCCGGCTGTTTCCCTATTAACACACGTCCGTTTTAATTTCTACACTTTTTTCTCACACAATAACAAGGATTGTCAAAAGCATGTTTGCTGTGGTTTTGTCAAATTATACTGATCACAAAACATTTATTTACTTTCTTTCGTTTTCCTCCGCCACTCATAAAGACCCGTGTCCTCCTGCAGAAACCCCGAGGGACAACAGACATCAATAACACAATAAAAAGTCCGACGTGTTGTGTAAAACTGCTATTTTTAGCACATTTTAAGTTCGACGTGTTGCTACCAGACGTACGGTGTGAGCTGAAACTGTGCTACAAACGAAAAAGTCGCACAGTGTCTGCAGAATATATAGAAATACAGGCTAAAAAGCATTATCTTGTAGAGGCTCCGAGTCCAGTTGCAGAAGTGACGTTTACAGGTGCTGCAGCACGGAGGATGTGGTGTTGTAGTAGGCTACATCCATTTTACAGTTTTTACACTGGGCTACGTTTTCCGCCTTACGACGTGAAAAATGGTCCCACACCTTTGACATTTTGTGTCTTTTTAGAACTTCACCGGGGTCCACGTTGTCTGCCATGGTTTAAGAGAAAGTTAAGTTACGTTCGCTACTCGCGTGTGCATTCAGTCCAGTGGACATGTGCGTCACTTATTTCGGTCCGGGTGAAACATGACCCCGGGCGATTGCAAAGCCATGAATTAATTAAATATGAATTAAACGAATCCTCGAGGCAGAGAATTTGACTCAAGGATTTTTTGTACTCGAATTATTCGAGGTACTCGAGGAATCGTTTCAGCCCTAGTTTTGACTAGAAATGTGATGAAATAATGATGGAATATTAACAGATCATGCAAATGTCAGCTGGCATGCTATTTTTGGCACCTATTAAAATGCGCCCCTCCAAAATAAAAGTTCACCAGCCGCCACTGCAATCCAACTGAATGCTTGAAGTACTATAGGCAGAGAAGTCAGGTGTGCACACTGTTGTGTAATGTAGGGTGTTCACAGTGAAAATTTAACCTCACGGTTATTGTGACCAAAATTGTCATGGTTTTCGGTATTGCGGTATTTTTTTAAACGTGCTACATTTTCAGACAGCTAAATAAACCCTGTATGTCAGGAAAATATTGTCCTCAGTTTGTGTCTAAATTTTGCCTAAAATGTGTTATTTTGTAATTATGTTGTTTATTTGTTTACATTTTTCCCTTTAGTCTTTAAAATACCAATATTTGCCCATAACTTCTTATTTTTTGTCTGTTTGATGTCATTTTAAAAATATTAGATCAGATGATACTCAGTACTCAAGTAGCCTTCTAATCAGATACTTTTTTACCCTTACTTGAGTAATAAACCCTATATCAGGAAAATATCGTCCTCGGTTTGTGTCCTTCCAGTGAGCTTTGCAGATGTGGGAAAATGTCATCAGGCAGTAATCATTGTTAAATTCATAATTATTCTCGGAGAGAGACCAACTCTTATCTGCCCCTGGGAGCCCCGTAATGCATAGTGTCATTTCAACATGGGGGTGTCTGCGACACGGTTTATATGCAGGTAGCGGCGCTGCGGCTGCTTTATATAGCGACTCATTGCATTCTCCCTCAACCCAAATCCTCGGATCACGCATTTTAGCTAAAACGCTAACGTTAGCTTGCCTTGCGTTGACTGTAGAGTTGTGGGTGATGGTCATGCAGAAGCGTTGCTGCCTGTCAGACACTTTTTCTGCACGTGCTGCAAACAGGATAGCCGTCTTCTATCAACTGTCCCTCGGCATTCTTCAAATATCCAAAAAATGTCCATACTTCCGACTTTGTCTTCTTTGAGGGATGGTAAATGTCCTGAGCCCTGCCGTCTCCTCCTTTGACCATTATTTCAGCTTGTAAGAAGCTAGCTTCAAGAAAGTTTTGGCTGAAATAACAAAGTGCGCATGTGCCGCCAGCAAATGATACGGTGGCTGGTAAGGGTCACCGCGCCTACACCACAGCCACAGTAATCCACCGAGATAATATATATAGTTTTTGAAAACAAGACGGTTATTATTATTGTCAGCTTTTTTTTTACCAGGGTTTACCGCTACACCAGTTACTGTGACAACCCTAGTGTGATGTAGCACTAGCTTAGTATGACCACCAAACAACCCAGAAAATGTATTTGTAATCTTTTTTCAAATTGCTGCTTCCAGGTATCCAACACATACCCAGTATGTGGATTTGATGCGAACGCTTCTCATGCAGTATCCATTTTTGCGTGAGAAATATGGATCAGGATATGTAAGTTTTCTTTGTCTATTCGTGTGTTTAATGCAATGTGGAAAATGCTGTTTTTGTCATTTCCACTTAGTGCAGGGGTGTCGAACTCATTTTAGCTCAGGGGCCACATTGAGGGAAATCTAGTCCCAAGTGGGCCGGACCGGTAAATTAAAAACAACTTCAGATTGTTTCCTTTGTTTTAATACAATCAATATAAAACAAAGCTGGAGCCTGCGGACAGTGTATCCAAAATAGTACAAGTACAAGTACCTGAAGTGTACTTGAAAATTTGAAGGAAAAAAAAATTAATTAATTAAAAAAAACATTCCTTAGTGATTCAGAGCTTACAGATCACATGGCTAGATCAGTTTCATGCAGCACTTAAAGTATATTTGACTCATTTTACTTTAAATCTTTTAGCTTTCACCAGCACATCAGTATCAGAAGTCACATCCTGAGTGGCGGCCAACTTCAGGATGTGATTCAAGATCTTGTGTGAGCCTTGGGTGCAGCTTTGTTTTATTTATACTCGTTACAGAGGAAACTTGCTCACAAAGATAAGTTTATTTTCACTCTACATTGTAAAGTATGAAAATAAAGTTTACATAACCATCTCGCGGGCCGAATTTAACTCATTTGCGAGCCGGATCCGGCCCGCGGGCCGCATGTTTGACACCCCTGACTTAGTGGTTAATGTCAGTCTTTTTATTATCACATTTCTGTCTGCATTTGGTCAGGATGCCCTGTTGGAGTCCCTGCGCAACAAATTCAAAAAGGAAAGAATTCCCCTGATCAGCAACAGTGAAGTAGCAAAAATGAGGAAGAAATTCTCATTACCAAATGGTGGAAGGAAGCTAAGAGCAGAGTCAGAGGGCAGTGACCCTTCTGTGAAAAAAATCAGGGCTGTAAGTCAGTTAGATTTATATAAGAGTTTTTGAGCATAGGCTTATGAAAAAAAAAATTAAACGCCTAAGTGGATTTGGGACATTTTCAATTAAGCTAAACACTAAATTTTGCTGTATAAAATTTAGATTTTTCTTGTCGTTGATTTAGACCTTGGAGATGCACGATGGAGAAGCTGATGGAGAAGATGAGCACAGCATTCAACACCATAAAGAAGCAATGAAAAAAGAAGCTCTGAAACAGACGCCCAACTATGACCTCATAATTAATGGAATGGTTAAGACGCAAAAATACAGGGCAAACTTTATTCAGGAACACTCGACAGCTGCAGTCCTGGAGGAGTTCCCTTATCTACGCCATCCATTCTTGGTAAGGTCAATGCATACATGCTCAATTGTGAGCCATACCCATCCTTATAAAACACAAGTTTTACGTATGTCAACAAATGCACTAAACATAGTTTTGTAAATAAATGGCTATATTTTGTGTGTTTCTAACAACATATTTTGGTTCAACAGAAAAATATTGGCTTATTAGGGTAAACACGTCCTCATAGCTGGAGTTCCTTTTAAATTCTTGGTATCAATATCTTCTTCGTACTGTGTGTGTGTTTTAGATTCTAGAGGAAGTGAAGCTCATCAGCAAAGTGGACGTGGAGAAACGCATAGTCACCAACTTTGCCAAGATGTCCCAAAAAATTGTTGACAAGGCTCCTAAAAGTGCCCTCAAGGACAAGTGTTTGGCTGGGCTTGATGCCTCAGAGACAGAGGAGGAAAGAAGAGGTATGTTGTGCCTTTAACAACTTTACAGTTTAATAAATTGTTATGCATTTTACTTTACCATGCTCAATTACATGTTATTTGAGGCACTTATATTTTTCTTTACAATTCTTCTGTATATTTTTTTAAGGTCAGATTGTCAACACTGCAGTGCTTCTACTACCTTCTGTCTTCAAAGAGGACCCACAGCAGCTATTTGTCATTGACAAGGTAAATATGACTTGCACTTGAACTCAGGCTTGCAACATCAGGACTTGAACTTGGACATGGACTCAGACTCCAACATGTGAAATTTCTATTGTTTGAATTAGGGCTGGACAATATAGGAAAAAAAAGCATATTGATAAAATTCATATTGATCCATATTAATAATTATTAAAAAATAGATATTTAAATAAAACTATAGAATTTATATTTTAAGTGCGGCCCTGGCCATTTTATGCTATTTGCTCATTAACTACTTTCAGTAAAGAACAGACAAAACCTGACTTAAATATATTATTCAAATATCTTTATTTTACTAGAACTAAACTATTTCAGGAAAATATTAAGTTGTGTTTATGTTTCTAGCACAAATTAAGATTTCTGTTGAATTTGTGATTTTAGTTTTCTAATCAAGGTTTAGCTGCAGCAGATTAGTCACAATTATAGTGAAATGTACAAACATACCATCCTGCTTTCACCAGGGCTGCCAGCTCGAACACAATGAGCATGAGACACATGCATCTGACCTTGTACACATGCTCTCACGCTACATCTCCAATACCTCCCGCTCTTGCGGACAAAGACTAAAGAGACTGCGCGCACCCCTCGACTCCCCCCTTTAACAAATGGTCAGGATTGACACACTTTGTTTTCATTTAGTTTTTAACCCTTTAACACCGATGCGTCACCATGCAGGATCACCGGTGACGCCTCGGCGCATGTGATTTCAAATAACTCCTCGCTACTTAAACTATAAAATTCTTAAAAAAAAATAAAGGAGAGGCCGTTTCATATTCTATTCAACTCTAATCAGGCAGTGATCGAGGTCGCTTTTGTAAGAGAGACCTGAGTGAGAAATATTAACACAATCGGAGAAACACCTCCAAATGTCTGACTTGCCTTGCTTTGGTTTTTGTGTCATAAAGACCTTGTTTCAGCTTCTTTTCAACATCAGTTGCCGACTCCATACTCATCCCGATCCTGCACTGTTTCTTTTAGCCGACCGTTCCTGCCCGCAGCAAAATTCACACCGCCCGCCCTCGCAAGATTTGTGTTGGGTTCCGTGGGACCCATTCCCGATGCAGCCCTCTACTATGAAGTTTCGCTAGCTATGCTACACCATGGATTTCACACTTCACCATGGATGCCCTATCCTGGCAGCAGCCAGCCAGTGCCAGCTGGGCATTACCTTGCACGTCCTCGATCAATTCAAAATATTCTCTACCTGAGAGCCCTCCCTATTTCAAACAGATTCTGCTGCAACCATTCCAGATCTCTGTGTAGACTCAACACGGGGCGGGGCTACTCAGATCTGGCTGCTGCCAGGTTAAAATATTTTCAACTTTGCTTAATTGGTCATTTTGTCTGACAAAGGGAGTCTTAAGAAATAGTCTTAGGGTCAGCAGTAGCTCAACAGGTTGAGCGGGTTGTCCAGTAATCGGAAGGTTGCAGGTTCGATCCCGGCTCCGGACAGAGAATTCTGCTGTTGTGTCCTTGGGCAAGACACTTAACCCACCTTGCCTGCTGGTGGTGGTCGGAGGGACCGGTGGCGCCTGTGCTCGGCAGCCTCGCCTCTGTCAGTGCGCCCCAGGGCAGCTGTGGCTACATCGTAGCTCATCACCATCAGTGTGTGAATGGATGAATGATACACTGTAGTGTAAAGCGCTTTGGAGTCCTTACTCTGAGAGGTGCTGTGCAAGTGCGGGTCATTATTTAAGGGCTTTTCTATGATTGCATTTTACAGGATCCAGTGTTTCCAACACCAACTGTTGTCCTGACAGGCTGCAGGGACGAAAACCCACTGCAGAGTGAGGCCATCACTGTGAAGATGGATAATGAAGAGATACTCCTTGATGATGGCAGTGTGGACATCTCCCTTGCCCTGGCTGTTACTTTTTGTCTTTACCACATCTTCCAAGTTCAGTATCCCAAAAACTTGAGAAAGACTGTTTCCTTTCTGGAAACTTTTGTTTTCGAAATGAAGGGTTCTGTTCCAATTGCTGTGCAAAGGTTTTATAATTCACTGTGAAAAGCAAGCCTGGCACTGTCTGTTATGGTTTTCCGTTTGTTCTGTCAATGTGATTTTGCAAATGTGTTCAACTCGAGTTGCTCTTTACCGTCACTATTTTTCCAGCATTATAAAAAAAAATTCAGCACTTTATAATACCTTTTTGCCTTGCATAGGATTATATTATGTCTGCTTGTTTACACTGTTTGTTCGCAGTGCATGGCCCATGAAGTGACTTACATCACAAGACATTTAAGATGGCGCCTGTAAACTTGCGTGACAGAGCTTTCTTGCTTGAGAAGTTACTACTTTCCTGAAGCAAATAAATTGGCTGCATATTGGAACCTTGCAGTATGAGTTCTTTTTTTGACTTTCACCTGCTTAAGATTTTTGGTACAGATGTGGGTAGGGACTTTCTTTGAGAATGTCAATTTTATACATTTTTATGAAAAAATTAGATCGTTGTACCTTTTTTAATGGCACAGTTAAGCGATTTGCATTCAATTGTTTGCTTTGAAGGACATGTTATATGATCAGTTTTTGTTCTGGTGTTTAATTTTGTGGAAATAATTTTTTCAAGAAATGTAGAAACAAGAAACTTCCCTTTATAACCTCTAAAACAAAGTTTTGTCTGGGTGTAAATGAAAACATTTGACAGGAATGAAACAGTGATTTAATGTAATTGGGTCCAAAATTTCCTTTTTGGTTTAATTACTGCACTTAAATTGATAATTTCTGATTAAAACACCCAAAAAAACTTTTTCTGAAGCACCCAAATGAATTAGTTCTTCAGAGAACCCCTTGATAAATGGTTATTTAAGGAACCCTAAAAGGTTCTGATTTTAAGGTTCCACAGAGAATCTAATTATGTTCTTTAAAGAACTTTTTTCGGTTCTCTGAAGCACCCAATTGAATTAGTTCTTCATAGAACCTTTTGATAAATGGTTATTTGTGGAACCCTAAAAGGGTTCCACAAATAACCATATGTGAGGTTCCACAGAGAACCAAATAAAAGTTCCTCAAAGAACCCATTTATAAATGGTTCTTTAAAGAACCAATAGGCAAAAGGTTTCTTGGAGAACCGAAGAAGGTTCCCCTATGGCATCACTGTGAAGAACCGTCTTTGGTTCTAACTGGAACCTTTATTTTTAAGAGTGTATGTAAATTTGTGTTTCAGTCATTTTTATACTGGCTTAAAAATACTTCATTAATTCTACTAAGCAGGGGTGTAGAAGGTGTTTAATAGGGCCAGCCCAGTAATGAACTTGGACCAAAATTAAGGGGGCAGAAAGTCAAAAAAGGGGGGCAAAAGATGTTTTTCCAGACACCAAGAAAAATTAAATGCCAAATCCCCCCTGCAGTGTGTCACTGAGAGTTTAAAACAGAAATTATTCATGTGCAAATATTGGTGTATTCACCTTTAAAGGAGCATGGGGCAGGAATTGTCCAAAAACAAAAAGTACATGTTCATTCTTGTGAAGCTTATGGGTGATGAAGCATTTTAAACTAAAAAGAATGATGAAACCAGTTTATCATTCCATTTTGTTAATCAGGCTGTGTGCTGCAAAATGCAAAACATTCCTGATCCGAATTTCCCGCGCTGTTTTACGGATATGACGTTAATTGACGCTTCAAGCGCGTTCTCGACAAGGTTCAAACCCGGAAAACACTTGCTAGGTGGCGGTAATGCGTCTTTCACTACTAGCCACGTTAAAACCTCAAACAGAAGAGGAAGAACCCTGGAAATGGATTCTACAACTAGCAAACGACCAAGCGCAACTCAAAGCCCGCTAAAGAGTGGAACAAAGAAAAAGGTTTTATCAGCGGCATCTCGAGAGTCAAAAAGAAAATATGATAAAAGTCGGTCAGGGACCCGAATATGTATTGGTTACGCTCTGGAAGAATGGAGGCTGCTTCAACTGGATTTGGTGCCTGAAAAAGGATGCGGACATGGCTCATTTTCTAGTGACCAGGTAAGTGTTGGTCTCCTTATTTCTGCTGTAGGTCTCAGTAACGAGTAGGTAAACATATCAGAGCTGTATCTGCACAATTTGAGAAAATAAAATAAAACTTATGGATTTAGATAATGCTAATTTAGGTAATCTAACAAATCTGTGCAGATGAACAAGAAACTTATCTAAGCTAACGGTGTTTAGCATATGGCTTCCTGATCAGTTTAAAAAAGCTAAAAGCAACTAAGGAGTAATCAGATCACTTCTACGTTTTGTGGACGACACGCCGCATGTGTTTGGAGATAAATGGATGCTCCGTTTATTCTGACGAGAAAGGTAAACAGAGCTTGATTTGATTATATGACGTCACCGATCAGCCGGAGAGAGCTAGCGTGCGTTAGCATGTTAGCTGTGATCAGGCTAACGGTTTGTATGTACCACAGAAGAGAACGGACATTTTCCAAACCAAAGATGAGTCTTTAGAATTATGTCATATTTGATCTACAGTCCAACCTCTAAGCAGGACTGTTACTTCAGTAGATAATGTTATTCGTGGGGTTTGTGTAACAGAACCCCATAAGAATATATTTTCCTAGCGCTATTGCTGTGCTACATAAGAATAAATAATAAGTCAGCCATAACAACACGTTTGACTAAAAGTAAAGTTGTGCAGAAGTTTGTATTTATTTTTCTAAATTTGTCCAGTTGAATGTAGGTCAGAATAAAATATGTTTGTGAAAATGATAAATAAATTTTTTTTATGACTGACATGCATTTTCATATTACTAGTTGTGCCACAGGTAAAGAAGCTTAGCCATTATTGATCTATGTAAACAGAAGGTGTAGAGTCTCAACCAACTTGTTGACATTTTTGTTTAAAAATGTGTTTTCCAGCTACCAGGAGAAGCAGGCTCCTGAAACTGCAATTCAGGGAGGTAATGTGCAATCAACCTCAACACCCAGTAAGCGAACAGCAGCTAAAATGTTGCATCGATTATCTCCAACTGAACCTGTGTCTGAGGGGTTAGTATCTTTTCTGTAAAACAAATATTCACGTTTTTGTGCTATGATATTTCATACATTAAATTACACCTTGCATATCCACACTTGGTTCAGAACTAACATCACACCACCAAACACTTCTGACATTATCTTTACAGGGAAGATTTTCTAATGGCTGGTGTTGAGGCCTTAGCTGATGACCTAGATTTGGATCCTTTTGAAGAAAGGTAAATTTGTTCATGAGAAGTCTTGCCATATACGCAGGAAATTACTGCTGTACTGTGTGTAAAAAAGATAAAAACACAATAGTTCAGCAAATATATGTCATTATATATATTTATGTTGTGAAGTGTCAATTCACAGCAGATTGTTGTTATTTGCAGAAAGAATTAATGACAGATGTATTAGGCTCCACATTTATCTCTTTAGAATCAGTACCATTTCAGGTAAGTTCCAGTATTTATCTTTACCTACAACAAATATTATTGTGTTGTCTGTAGTTTCAAATCCATGGATCTAGCTACGGATGCAGTCCAAATTGATGAGGACCAAGCAAACAACTTACTCAACAGTGTGTGAGTTGCAATGTCTTCTTATCTAGTGGTGGGCAATATAAACGATATAAGGTAGAAATTATATAAAATTGGGTAATTTTACGGCCCCCAGCTCGTCTAGGAGATGATGTTAAAGGGGGCGTAAAGAAAGATATATGAATTACCGGACAAAACCAAGATTTACTCTCTTAGAGGAGTTTATTAACTAAAAAACAGTGCTTTATGCAGGCTAAGACAAAATGAATACAAAACCAAAAGGACGTCCCACTGGGGAATTAACAATACTAAACAGAAGGATCATCCAATACAGGGTAAATAACAATACTATTAATAAACACAAAACGCCGGTACTAATCCAGGAAAGTAAAGGAATGAGACAAACACAAAAGGCTACACCAAAAGGGTGAGCTGAACTCTTTAACGAGTATTCTAATGGAGACAAAAACGAGCTCTGGCTACTAGGAAGTGTACCACACAGGTAATCAAAACGAAGACTTTAACGTCTGGTTTGCTAGGAGGGAAAAAGAGGAACACTCGCTTTAACACCAGGCCTCTGCTAAGCTTCCCTCCTCGAATGACAGAGGGAGCTGCCTTTTATAGGAAGCTCCCTGACTGAGAAGATTAGCGACACCTGGCTCAGCTAGAGCCAGGTGAACAGGTAGGAGCTCTGAGGCCACCTTGTGGCCACAAAACAGACAACGTCTGTAACAGGTAATGATAGTTTTTGGCTATATCGCAATACGGCGATATTGTGATAACACATGACGTCACTAAGATGTGCACCCTGCTGACAATGAGACAACAGAATGGCGGTGACTGCAAGCATGGAGTGGGCGGAGGAGGAGGCCTATATGCCTCAAGTGGCATATATTTGCCACATGAGGATATCTAAAAGCATGTCAATTTGACATCTATAAACAGATGAAAAAATATATCGCAATATATATCGTTACTGCACATGCTTCAGATTATATCGCAATATAGATTTGAGGCCATATTTCCCAGCCCTATTCTTATCTACACTCTTTTTTTAAACTCCAAAGTCTTAAAACAATATATTAATTCTACTTTTATTTATTGTTTTCATAACAGAATAGAACTGTTATGAAAACTTTGTCATGCTGACGAAGTTTGCAGCCGCAAACAAAACGTTGCAGGTAAATAAAACCCTTCTATGTTTTAAAAAGAACTAAAAGATGGAATTGTTGTTTTATCCTTGTTCACAGGCTGGGATCCTAAAGGCAATTTCCATCCTACTTGTGTGGCTGAAGGACATCTTCAACCAATTTTGGTACATTTGTCAGAAAGCACAACATCGTGATATGTTTAATGTAAGTATTGTGACATCTTTTGGACAACAAGACAACAATGCACATTGACATAATTACCTTTCTTTTCATAATAGTGCCAGCTCTCGTGTTTCTGTTGGTGAGCGCTTCTGTCACATGTAAAGTTTTCAAATAAAACTTATTTTTTCTGTTAGGACATGTGGGTGGGTGTGCTTCACCATGTCACAGGGAAGCATGAATGGACCCGTGGCAAATGTGACCATGGACCACTTGATGCAACGTGGCATGGTGCCAGGATCTCCACCACACGAGGCTCTTCAACGAATCATGTTCAACAGACGCTGGTTGAAGGATGCCACCAATCTGACCTTTAGGTATATTAATAACATTTTCATAAGCAAAAAAGCTAAAGTGTCAATATCAAAGCTGAAAATTTACATATAGAAATGACGATTGTGGGTGAGAAGGCAATCAAAAGTGTGATTCCTAATAATCTATAAAGTTGTAGCTTTTGTTTTTTTACAGGTCAACTTCAGAACTGGAGAGTTTCCAGAATTGCATTCTAATGTAATCAATGTATGATCTAATGCTGCTGTTCTCCTCTCCATAAAGGCCCCAGCTACGTGAAGCATCAAAAGACAGGAATGACTTCTTTCATGCACACAGATTTATTAGAAATTAAGAAAAAATACTATGTACAAATGCAAATAACAGAACTTTTTTATACATAAATAAAAATAAATATATTGCACAAACTGTTTGTTTATTTTTGGGTGAAAATGCTGTCTTCAGCTAAAGTTATTTTGAGGTATTGTGCTGTTTTGTAACTACTGTAGTTGTAGATAAACGGTTTGGATTTTTGGGTTAGGGTGCCCTCAGTCAGGAAGACGGTGTCCTGGCGTCTCTTGCCGAAACTCCAGGTTATCCAGCATCACCCCTGGAAGACGGGTCACCACTCTCGAGAATATAATCTCTCTCCTCCTGGCTCAGGTGTTGTAAAGCTGTCTAGAAGTTAAAGAGCATATGTTTACATGACTAGATTCATATCTCCAGTGAGTGATGTTTTCGTTTTTGGCATCTATTATTTTATTTTATTTTTTTACACAAATGGCTACAACCAACCTGCATCTCAGCTATACTGGCAGCTCTCAGCTGTGCAAGCCGGTCTCGGTCCTCTTCTTTGAAAGCTGTTCGCTGCCTACCCCGGCGCCCTGGTCCTCTTGAAGGAGCTCTGGACCTCAACCTGCTGCCCTCACCCCTTGAGCGTGTCCTTCCCCGACCCTCGGAGCAACCTTTTCCTCTCCCCTTTCCTTTAGCCCCTGGTCTCAGACTTTCCCACGACACATCAAAGTCTGTGGCAGGCTCGGGCACACTCCATCTGAACTGTCTTCCATCACTGCTTCCAATGTGAATTCCTGAAAATCAATGACAGTAATGATAAAAATGACTGTATTACCCTGTAGGTCTTGTTGATATTATGATTTTATTTTGATACATTTTTGAACTAAACATTGATATTTATGTTCTTATTTACATTGTTGTGATGCCTGTCCTGTAATGAAATTGGTTTCAAAAATGATGTC